TCTGTGTAAGCCTCTAGTCTGTACTATTCCATTCATGGCAACTGTGGCCAACACACATACCTTAGTTGCCTTCCTTCAGAATGATGCAAGAGAATCCACCGGGAAAGGATCATGATAAAAACCACCATCTCTAAATCCTAACTCTAAAACCCTGCACTGCTAATCCTCTTGTATGCATATGACTAAACAGAAGCCATTTCCTGACACTGGATCCTTATGGCCTCCTTTATGGTATGGAGATGTACCATGGACAGCACCATCCCTAACTACCTCATAGATCCATTTGAACATGAAATTGTGTCATTGAATTTCTTCAAAAATGTAAAGTTTACAGTGAAGTCAAGTTCAACAACTACAGCCCTGAGGGCTCGGTTCTAGGATAGTATGGGAAAATTATTAGGATTGCTTGGTTTCAAGCTACATAGACTCTTCTTTGTCTTCTTCCCTCTTAAGAACAATTGGTAGCATTACAAGAAGCAGTCACAAGAAGGCTCTCAAAGTGTGAGGAAGGCAGACTAGCCTGAAACTTGAAGAATATCACAGAAGACCAGAGCCTCCTGACCACTTGTATAGGGAAGGAAGATGACTAAAGTGGGTATATCTTCCTCTGCAAGTAGCAGAAAAGAAAACAAACAGCAACAACAAAAACTATCAGATCCTAAAATAAACTACATGAAGATGATAGCAATCCTTAAAGAGGAAATGAATAAACCCCTTAAAAACATCCAGGAGAAAAGAGACAGTCAATTGGATGACATGAACAAAACCCTCAAAAAAAGCCAAGAAAACACAGACAATTGGAGGAAATAAATAAATACCTTAAAGAAAGCCAAGAAAAACAAACATTTGAAGGAAATGAGTAAAACTGTTCAAAGCCTGAAAACTGAAATAGCATCAATAAAGAAAACACTAATTGAGGGAATTCTGGAAATTATTTAAAAAAAAAACAGGAATTTGAAGAACTACAGAGGCAAGCTTCACCAACTAAATGCAAAAGATGGAAGTGAGAATTCTAAGCATCAGACATCAGTCACAGAAAATGTTGAATCTAGAAAAAAAATCCTAACATAAAACATCCAGAAATCTGGGACACTGTGAGTAGACCAAACATAAAAATCATAGGAATGGAAGAAAGAGAAGAATCCCAGTTCAAAGACACAGAAAATATTTTCAACAGAATCATAGAAGAAAAATTTTCTAACCTTAAGGAGAGACCTATAAAGGTCCATGAAGCATACAAAACACCAAATAGATTAGACCAGAAAAGAAGGTCCCCTCCCTACATAATAATCAAAACACTAAACATATAAACAAAGAAAGAATATTTCTACACAGAAATACGAGAGCTAACAGAAATTAAAAACCAAATGGAACTCACATATATTTACAGGACATTGACCCAAACACAAAAAGAATATACCTTCTTCTCAGTACTTCAGGTAACTTTCTCCAAAATTGACTACATTCTCAGTCACAAAGCAAGTCTCAACAGATGCAAGAAAATTAAATAACTCCATGTAGCCTATCAGACTATTATGGACTAAAGTTGGATTTCAACAACAGCAGAAAGCCTACAAACTCATGAAAGCTGAACAACCCTCTACTGAATGAAAACTGAGTCAAGAGAGAAATAAAGAAATCAAAGACTCTAGAATTCAATTCAATGAATACAAAACATACCCAAATTTAGGGGACACAAAGCAGTGCTAAGAGCAAAGTCCATGACACTAAGTACCTATATAAGAAAATGGAGAGATCTCATACTAGCAACTTAACAACACACCTGAAAGCTCTAGAACAAAAAGAAGTAAGCACACCTAGGAGGAATAGATGGGAGGAAATAATAAAACTCAGGGCTAAAAATCAATAAAATAGAAATAAAGAATAATACAAAAATTCAATGAAACAAAGAATTGGTTCTTAAAGAAAATCAACAAGATTGACAAACCCTTACCCAAAATAAGTTAAAGAAAGAGAATATCCAAATTGACAAAATCAGAAATGAAAAGGTAGAAACAACAACAGACACTGAGGAAATCCAGAGAACCATAAGTACATATTTTAAAAACCTGTACTCCAACAAATTGGAAAATTTAAAAGAAATGGATAATTTTCTCAATAAGTGCCATTTACCAAAGTTAAATCAAGATTAGGTAAACAATTTAAGTAGAACTACAGCCCCTAAGGAAATAAAAGCAGTCTTTGAAAGTCCCCCAACTAAAAATAAGCACAGGGCAAGACAGTTTTGTTGTTGTTTGTATTTTTTTACAGAATTCTATCAGACTTTCAAAGAGTTAACACCAATACTCCTCAAATTATTCCACAAAATAGAATTGGGAACATTACCCAATTCGTTTCATGAATCCAGTTACCCTAAGGCCCAAACCACATAAAGACTCAAGAAAGAATTAAAATTACAGACCAATTTTCCTCATTAACAAAGATGCAAAAATACTAAAAAATAATTGTAAATTGAATCCAAGAATACATCAAAAAGATCATTCACCATGTTCAAGTAGATTTCATCCCAGAGACGAAGGAATGCTCCAGTATATGATAATAAATCTGATCCAACATATAAGAAAACTGAAAGAAGAAAATAAAAACATGATCATCTCATTAGATGCAGAAAATACCTTTGACAAAACCCTTAGATAAAAGTCCTGGAGTGATTAGGGATACAAAGAACACACCCAAACATAATAAAGGCAACTTACAGCAAGCCCATAGCCAGCACCAAATTAAATGGAGAGAAACTCAAAGCAATTAGACTACAATCAGGTACAAGACAAGGCTGTCCACTCTCTCCATATGTAATCAGTATAGTACTTTAAGTATTAGGTCAGGCAATAAGACAACTTGAAGAAGATCAAGGGGATACAGATTGGAAATAAAGAAGTAAAGGTATTATTGTTTGCTGAGGACATGGTAGTACACTTAAGTTATTCTAACAATTCCACCAGGGAACTCCTGTATCTGATAAACACTTTCAAAGTGGTTGGATACAAGATTAACAAAAAAGAAAATAGCTCTCCTATACAAAAATGACAAATGAACTTAGAAGAAATCAGGAAAACAACACTTTTCACAATAGCCTCCAGTAATATAAAAAATCTTGAGGCAACTCTATCCAAACCAGTGAAAAACTTGTAGTACAAAACCATGAAGTTTTTGAAGAAAGAAACTGAAGAAGGTATCAGAAGATGGAAAGATCTTCCATGCTTGTGGATTGTCAGGATTAACATAGTAAAAATGGGCATCCTACCAAAAGCAGGCTTCTGAAAGAGAAGGATGGACACTAACCCAGCCACAAAACCTTTTGACCTGCAATTTATTCTGCCTGCAAGCTAGGCTGGGGTAATGGTAGTGTAAAATTGTGGGAACAGACAATTACTATCTGATTTAACTTGAGGTACACTCCAAGAGAGGAGTGTCCCATGCCTGACATTGCTTGGATGGTCATGAACCAGAGACTGGATAGCCCAGAGACCTAGGGTAGAACAAAATACAACTGGTCTTAAAAAGAATCAATGAAATAATTTCTAATGATACTTTGTAATACTCATACTGTTGCCTTGCCCAGTTGCCTTCAGAGAGGCTTCCTCCAGCAGTAGATGGGAGTAGATGCAGAAACCCCACAGCCAGACATTATGTGCAAAGAGTCTAAATTGGAAATTTGAATGAAGTACCTCCCTTCAAAGCTTAGGAAATGCCACAGAAGAGAGAGAGGAAAGACTGTAGGAGTCAGAGGGGAGGGAGGACACAAGGAGTACATGACCCAATAAATCAGCTAAGCAGGGCACATATGGGATCACAGAAACTGAAGCAAGCACAGGATATGCATGGGTCTGTACCAGATTCTCTGCATATATGGTATTGCTGTTAGCTTGGTGTCTTTGGGGAACTCCTAACTGTGGGAGTAGGTGTGTCTCTGACTCTTTTGCCTGCTCTTGGTACTCTTTTCCTCCTGTTGGGTTGCCTCGCCCAGCTTCAGTGTAAAGACTTTTGTGCCTTATATTATTGTATTTTGTATTGTGTGTTTGGTTGTTGTCTCTTAGAGGCTTGCTTTTTTCTGAAGGGAGATGGGGGAATGGGAGATGGATAGGGGAGACAGGTGGGGAGATGAGAAGAGTGGATGGAAGGTAAACTGTGGTCAGAATGTATTGTATGAGAGAAGAATCTATTTTCAATTAAAAAGAATAATAGAACTAATTTTTTCTAAAATAAGTCTATCTTTTTAATCACTCCAAATAGGCAAGCTCATCTTTTATGACAGTTGGAATTGGCTTGGAAATAAACCCAAGGGAAATTTTCTAGAAAATGCTCATGTTTTGGCAAGTGTGATTGTAACATGAGGATACATGCATTTCAAAACTCAAACTATAAACTGATTTCTTTTTTCTCCTTTTTTATTTAAATTAGAAACAAGCTTGTTTTAGATGTCAATCCCAGTTCCCTCTCTCTCCCCTCCTCCTCTGCTTATCACCTTTCTGCTCCCCAGGGATGGTGAGGCCTTCCATGGGGGATCTTCAAAGTCTGTCATATCATTTGGAGCAAGGCCTAGACCCTTCCCCATGTGTCTAGGCTGAAAGAGTATCCCTCTATGTGGACTGGGCTCCCAAAGTCCATGCATGTACTAGGGATAAATACTGATCCACTACCAGATGCCCCATAGATTAACCAGACTTCCAAACTGACATCCACTAAGAACTATCTTTTAAAAATACTCTTTACAATCAGAAACAAACCACTCTCAAAGTAGGAACCCTAATAACCTAAATACTAGGACCTGGGCCCTAGTATTTAACTATTGTTAGACTGGGGATTAAGTTTTCAGCATACTTTTAGGGGTGCATTAAAACACAGCTATTACAATCAGCTACATACACTAGACTCCAATTATGATTTACTTTTGTAAAATGGAATAAAAACAGAGGTCATAACAAATAAACAATTCAATATATTGCTGTTTTATACAGATATGCTAGGTGCTGCTCCAGTGTTTTATATATATTAACTCATCCACTCCTCACCCACAAGAGACAGAAAGCATCACTATGCTGCTCTTGATGTCACAGACACACAGGCAGTAAAGTATTGTGTCCATGGTCACTAAGCCAAAACATGGCAAAGCCAGGCTTCCAACCCAGGTAGACTGACCCTAAATTTAGATGTATAAGCCCTATGTTGAGAGTTCTCATGCTTACAGGTCTTGGCGTAATGTGTTATTTTCATAAAAGTGTGTCAAAATATTCATAGGCCTTGCTGAGAGACTGAGGACCAGCCACAGACAAAAAGAAGAAGCAGGACACACCAGTGCTGCCTGGTCATGGGACACAGGTACCAGTGTCCACATCAGGAGATGTGAAGAACTACACTCACCTGAGCCTGAGCGTGGAGGGAAGGCCATACACATCACCAGTGTGCTGGCAAGGAGCTCCCTAACAGACCCCATCTTCTTCACTCTCATTCAGCCATCAGAAAGGAGGTACCATGGCTGTCAGCTCTCCTCTGTTCTGATGACCAAGAGCCTAACAGTCAGCAGTTTCCAGGCAAGTCACAGGAAAAGAAGTGAGTATAAAATACCCAGGATGAGTAATATAGGAAGTAACTAATTTTTGTAAATCATGTTTAATTTGAGGAAACATAGACCTTAAAGACTTAGCATGTAAAGATGATTTAAATTCTGATTTAATGTCTACATATTAATATAGTTACAGCGACTAATATTCACACAGGTATCTTGAGTCTGCCTGCCACCTCCAGGTGTTTCAATTTCCAAGGGATTTAACAAAACCTGCATAGCAAGATTGCTGTGTGTTTCCAACATTTCATGAGGCCTTGGTATTAGAAGTCTAGAAAATGATCTGCAAACAGATTTTCACCCCCGGCCAAAATCACATTTAGATTTGTGTGCAGCTTGCCCCCTGATGAACTTTATCCATTTGTTACTGTCCATCTTCATTCCTTGTTTCTCACATGGTGTAGTCAGCAAGCCACTGGAGAATCCTCTAATGCCCTGTGTGCCTCATACTCTTGTAACTCTCTTCCAAGAATCCTTGAGATTATGCTGGACCCATACACATAATCCAGGATGGTCATCCCACCTCCAGATATCTTTTAAGATGCATGGGAGGTGGTTACATGGGGGGGGTAATATTCATAGGTTACATGGGGGAGTAGCATTTACAGGTTACAGGAAGTGGAATATAGATCACTTGGAAAGCCACATTAATTCTTCAGTGCTAGTGATTGAACCCAGGGTTTCATACATGCTGAGCATGAGCTCTACCACTGAGCCATACTCCTTAGTCAAGAGCATTATCTTTCAGTCTTTTCTGTTCCACTGATTGTCCGAAACACTGGAGACTGGACGGAGAGATTAGTTGGTAAACGGCTCAGTGTGTAAGTATAGTAACCTGAGCTTGATCCACAAGACTCATGTTAAAAAGGTAGAAGAAACGAATAAAACAAGAATTGGGAATGGGGCTGTGAACTTGTACTGGGAAAGGAGATGGGTGGATCTAGGCTCACTGGGGAGCCTGAGTTAGTTAATAACTTCAGAGCCAGAGTCAGGCCCTTTATCCAAAATCAAGTTGACTGACTGGCTCCTAAGAAATAACACCTGAGACTGATGTCCTGCTTCCACACTGTACATGTGCAAGCTCAGACACACAGTCACAGTTACAGACACACAGTCACAGACACAGACACATAGTCTCCCCCCACTCTCATACACACACACACACACACACACACACACACACACACACACACATTGTCCTAGTATATTCTCTGTTATGATAAAACTCTAACTAAAAACAACGGGGTCAGGGGTGGGGGGTTGGAAGCCAAGGCAGGAACTCAAGGCAGAAATTGAATCAGAAGGCATGGGAAAATGACTCATACTGCCTCACTTCCCCTAGATTGCTCAGTTAACTCTCCTACGCAGCCCAGGTCAACCTGCAGAGGGATAGCCCCACTTGCAGCAGTCAGGCCCCTTTTATGCCACTTAAAAACCCCAACAAGATCATGAGCTAACCTGATGGAGGCAATGCCTCTGTTGAGGCTCCCTCTTTCCAGGTGTCTATCATTTGTGTCAATTTGACAGAATCACACACATAAACCCAGAGAATGTTAAGTTAGTTTTGTAACTACATAAGGTTTATCCTTGCAAAGCAACTTATAATAATAAAATTTTTAGAGTACAGTGTGTGTGGGTAGGTATGCATTCGTGAGTGTAATGCCTATAGAGGCCAGAAGAAGGGATTGGATACTCTGGAGTCATGTTGTGAGCTGCCCTATGAGAAGTGAGCTCAAATCCACTGTAAAAACAGCATGTACTGCTGAGCCATCTCTCCAGCCTTCACATACTAGTATTGTGTAAATAGTATTGTGTACAGACTGTTGGATCCAGCCCTTGAATCAGTCCTGATTTCAAGTTCATGATTCATAATGAAATAGGAAAGGGGGAGGGAAGGGGATGGTGGGAAAAGCAGACATGCTTCTGGTTGTTTACAAGGAAGAAATAGAGGGAGGAAAAGACTAGAGATAAAAGCATAGAAGGAGACAAAAAAAGGAGAAGGAAGATTAGGGAAGGATGGTGAGTAGAGAGGTGATCTGGGTATGGTTCAGCACGACTTGCCTCCAAGTCACTTTGTCCTCTCTTGCCTGGGCTATCCTCACCAACTCAGCCTCCTGCTTGGAAATTCATGTAGTGGTCCTCTGTGCATCTGCAGACTGCATAAGGGACCCTGAGGTCTTCTTGAGACGTTGCAGATTGCCCCTGTATGTGTTTTCCTGGAAAATGGAGTGACAGTCCCAGGGGTCAGACAACAGCTTAATTGAAGTTATTTCTGGCCCCTTGACTGAAGTCCACTCTGAAGTTACTATTTTTAGGACTCTCTTGTCAAGAGGTATGAGGTGAACTTGCAGAAGAAGGCTGGGAGTCTGTGATGGATACTCTGACATCCTAGCCTCTTCTTTCACGCCCCCCATCCCTAGGGGACTCCAGGATCACCTATTTCTTTGGCTCTCCAGATTCCTGTTAAGTATCTGTTGCAGACAGAAGTCCAGGCTGGTAAGAGGAGGACATCTCAGTAGCAGGAATTGCCCATCCCCAGCCCTGTAAATGGGATGGCAGTAGTAGGTAGGATGGTCCTCTCTTGAGGCAAAGACCCATCTCTAGCTCTGGTGACTCTACTTCCTCACTGTCAGGGCTGTGGTGGGAGGTTTAACAGATCCCTGCTGTTTCCAGACCTTGATTCCTCAGATCCTTGATTCTGTTCTTTTTGCCCGGTTGATATTAGAGCACCTTCTCCATTTGGCCCTGAGTGAAGCCCCTGGACCCGCAAGTCAGGTCAGGTTTGACATACTAAATCCACATGTGTCATATATTGACTTTAACATGCTAACTTTACATTTGTGTCTGAATATCCATCTTCTACTTTGGCCCCTCTTTTGTAGAACTATTCAATGAGTTTTCACCTTTGATCAAACTATTTTCACCATTTAATTTTTTTTAATTCTTAGAGAATTTTGTACATTGGATCTTAATCACATTCACTTTATAAATTCTTCAAGATACTGTTATGGTTCTCTCAGGAAGAATTTACTTTTGTCCTTGTTCTCTTTCCATTTTAATGAGACCCCAGGGTGTGGCTCTTCAGAGCAGTTGCTAGACTCGCTTTCTCCTGGGTCTCTTGCTTCCTGTGATGTAAAGACCTTAGAAACCAGCATTTCTATATTGCAGCCTTGTTCTGGCAGGTACTGCATGGAAGGGCCACAGAATTGGCACATCTGGTTGCCTGGCCGGTCACATTTCCTTCCCTAGCAGGGAAAACCCAGGAATAACCATTAGTTACTCTCTGGCTTGATTACTTAATAACTACTTATTACAGGATGGGCACTGGCTGCTCAGAGGGAAGGACTGAATCTGATGCAGCCCCTCCCACACAGAAGTGCTTATCTTAAGGTGGTGTGGGGGGTGGACAAACAGAAAACCATCTGGGGTCAGGATGGCCTCAGCACGTACACTGGTTAGGTCCATGGAGCAGGTAATACTGACTATGTTAATTGAAAAGCAGTCAAATAAGACTTTCCAGAAAGGACCACTACACCAAGCCTTTACTCTGAGTTGGATTTATACAGATAAAGGAATTCTCTTGATACTCAACAGATCTTGAGAAATATGGAAATAATTCCAGTCATAGTTGCCAACCTCAGAGAGATGTTTTCCATGACTGAACAAATGCAGATCTGACTTGAATTCTACTACCCATAAGGAGAGATTATGTGCTTTGGTGAGTGTGACTTCATTCAATTTCAAAATTAAATGATCCTCTGCTGAGCAGCAAGATGTGGGGAAATGAATTTAAATTAAAACTGTGCTTAAAAATTCAACACATCATTGAGTCTTACTATGACATCTACTTAAATTGAGGCTACACAACTCTCTCCTCACACCCAGGAGCCTCTTGCATAATTGTTGGCCAGCCAGCAACTCCTAGTCCACTCTCTGGAGCTATCCAGGCTCTCCACTCCTCAGCTCTCATTCCCTGTAAATAATGCTTAAGGATCTGGATAGAAGCATGTTGATAACTTACCTTAAATATATGAATACCCAGCTTCAAATTTGCAAAATTTATCACATGTGTATTTGTTGTGTATTGTTGTTGACTGTTTATTTGGAAGCCATTTAACTTGATTGTGACTGATAGCACTGTTCCGACTGTTTTCTTTTATAAATTAGATTTATAAATTAGATACAAGCTCTCAGTTACTGCTCCAGCACCGTGCCTGCCTGAATGTTGTCATGCTCCCTGCCATGACTGACATGGACTCTACCCTCTAAAACTGTGAGCCCCAACATTAAATCTTTCTTTTATAAATTGCCTTGGCCATGGTGCTCTGTCACCCATCTTGGACTGTGTTTGTGTTGGGGGGACAATAATATAATGTTGAAAACAGAATTAAGTCAAGTATGTAAGTCAATGTGTGAATTTCCATTGTGTATGCAGTTATATATCTGGTTTTGCAAAAGTACAAAATTGATAAATATATGACATGATATACAGAAAAAACCAATAAAAGACTGCTGTGCTTTACTTACCTACTATCTCCAAGTGCCATCTTGTTCAGTCTGCTTCATTTTCCTCTCATCCAGCCTATAAATTCTAGCTCACAATTTGGCCCATGTCTTCTACAGTGTGAGACAGAAATGTTCTCCAACAAACGTGGAGTTCTCATATTTATGAATGGTGATATGTTATATGGTTCTTAATTCATTCCAGACCTATTTACAATAGCATAGTATGGGCAGAGGGAGATTATCGGCAAACGCCTGTTTCTCTGGGATGATCAGTTTAATAAAAAAGAAAAAAACAAAAGAGAAAAGCCCTGGGGACAGGGATGAGTATGAAGAGAAATTGATTCTCTCTAGCAGTATCTTACATAAGCCTTGAGGCCCAGAGAAGAGGAGCAGATGTTAGAGGTCACAGGAGTTTCTCTCAAGGTTGTCTTAGGCACCAGCATGTGCAATGAGAGGAAGGCTTCCCACATATGAATAGGACACTGGTGACTTCAGCTTAAAGGCTTCAGGGAAACACAGCGGGACTCCAGATGAGGCAAGAGAAATAATGTTTCTTAATATGACAAGGTGCTGGTCATGGTATCAGAATGCTTCCAACATCAGAGAAGATTCAGATAGGAAAACCACAGGACTTTGAAAAGACTGCATTTGGATGCAGGAAGGCAGTGCTAATATGTCAGTGGGTATACATGGCAAGAAAATGTCAATTCCTTTGATGCGATTCCTTGTCCCTCCACAGGCTGATGAGACCTTAGCAGACTGCAGGCAGAAGTGAGCACCCAGCACCCTGTGTCAGAATGAATATGGCAATGGTGGCAGCCATTGGACTGAGCTGGCTCTCAATGGCTTCAAGGCAAAACAGACTAAATGACTCTAGCTGTAGTTGTGAATATTATTTTTTAAGTAGTGTAGCACCAGCATTAATAAGTATGACTTTTAAGCAAATGTACTGAATCCTTACTATCACTTTCACAGGGAGATGAAAACTAAGGCTTGCCAACACTTTCCAAGATTTTACGTAGAAGGTGCTGTATAAATATCAGTTAGGGTCAGCTGAAGTTTTACTATCTTCCCTTCTGTCTTGGCCTATTATGTGGAACGTAATGGTTTTGTTCTCTAATCCTGACACCGTACAGTCAGCATCCACCTGATGCACCATCTATAATATTGGTGCCTGATAAGCTTCTGACCATGGTTCTGAGATATTTTACAAGTTTTAAAAATTATCCAATGAATGTGCTTTAGGGGGTTTTCTAATACAAGTCAAAATGCAGACAGCAAATGGTTTCACACTGAGATGATATAAAATGACTGAATAGCACAGATAGACAATTGTGTATGGTTGACTCAATACTGCCATTGGGACACAAACCTGTCTGGCTCTGTTTCCTCAGTGTCACCCAAAACAATAAACAGCCAGTGTTCCACACCCAAGAAGCCAATGTACAAAAGCAGAAAACAATCATTAGATACAGTCTAAAGACCACTGTGTTCTAAGGCACCCCACAAACTCCCGTGTGTGCCAGTTATCTTTCCTACCTATGTAACAGGTAATATCTAATTGCTTTTCATAAAAAAGGATAATGAAATTTTTTAAATTTCAAAACATTACAGAACAAAAAAATACAGAACTGTACTTTAAAAACAAACAGAAAGTATCCAACCTGAAATTTCACCACCATTTGGTCAAAAAATGCCCTTGCATTTTCTTTTGATTTCTGGTTGGTTAGTTCTGCCTGTATATGGTTCAATCCTGAGCAGTCTGCATTATTCTGAGGACATATGTTCAGCAGGAAGGTCCAACTCTGTGCCAGACTTCAGAACCATCTGCCTCTTTGTGCTTACACACACACACACACACACACACACACACACACACACACACACTCACTCACTCACACACACACACAGTCCCCATGAACAACATATATATACTGCCTGTGAAATCCAAGCTGAGAGACTGAAGATGGCAACATAAAACTTCTCCTTTCCTGGAGAGGGGGAAGACCACATACTGGAAACTGCCATGATTCCTAGGAGGGCTTTTTGCCCCTTATGTGATGACATGGTTTTCTTGCCCTTCTCGGGCTTCATTCCTGTGCCAGCTCCATGCTGGAACAATGACTCAGATGACTGGGACATCTTGTACTACTGTATGTAACTAAAAGTTGGCTGTAGGTCTGTGTCATAGCCATGGCCAGTTATCAAACCACCAAACATTTTTAAAGACTTAAGAGATTTAAGAGACATAAGGATTGGTGCATCAATAATTCATTAAAGATTTCTCACACTAATGTCTAAAGAAACTTCAGTGGGTGCTCCAAAATGAGTCTCTGCTACATCAATGAGCAAAAACTGAAATGTCTTTCTGGACTAGTTTGACACAGAACAAGCCCAAATTTGAATTCTCTGTTTCGCTCCCTGCTCCTTCCATCTGTCTGTATTCTGTGGTCTGTGGCCTGTGGCCTGTTTGTGTCACCTGTCTATGTGTTGTACCTGCGCCTAACAAGCGACTTTTCTCTGTGTTGACTGGACAGCATGGGGGCAGGGGTAAGGACTTCCTTACAGAGAGCTTCAGAGTAGTTTATAAGGGCAGGATTTACTTTGCTGAACAGAACAACAATCAAAATCACAAATAGGTATTATCAACCTGCATGCATACATTGCTGCAAACATTTACAGGTTATTTTTTGATTAATGTTGCTTTCAACCTGTTGGCTGCTTTCAGCAAATGATTACCACAATACTCACATGTGTACACAGACATTATTCTGGGTCAGAGACTGGGACGAATACATAAGTTTAAAGCAATGTGTTTAGCTTTGGTTGTAAAAGCTGATTCCATTAGGAAATCTATGGCATAGTAGCATTACTTACAATGTTCTCTTAAAGGCATGTTAAACTCAGACAGGATGAGGACACAGCAACATAGCAGGTAAAGTATACAGCTATCAATGATCTCAAGTGTATTATTAACTTGACTTCAAGTACAGCAGGAGTTCAGTGTCTTGGAAGGCAAGAGGTATTTTCAGAAAACTCTATCACCACAGGGAATTTGGAGAAACAAGAAGGATAATATCTTCTAGGTAGAGCAACTTTCAGTAACAATCATGTAATAGCCATGCCATAGGGTGGGAGACTCTAAGGCACCACCCACTAGTATCATCTATACACACGAGTGGAATGATGGCACAGAAAACTTCTCTTCAAATTGATCTAGAAGCTCTCCATTGTACATTGTTAGAGTAACCAAGGAAAGAAATCTGTATAAGTGAAAAACATTATGCTTTAAAAAATAATCAGGAAGCTTCAGAGGTAGGTAATGGAAGAACCTGGAAACCAGAATCATTTTCTGGAGACCCTAACCATCTAGTCATTATGTTTTATTTTATATACATTTTCATACAACATGATTTTTTAATTAAATGTGTTCTTTCATAAATTCAGTCAAATATATAAAGCACACTGACTATTCTCATCCCATTTTACCTCCTTCCAGCCCCTACTAATCCCATCCCTTCTCTACAAATATCATTCCCACACTCATACCATTTTGTTTTGTGATGCACTGTATTTAACCATCCATTGACTTATAGATGAGGAAATGTAGAGAAGCTCAGAAGGCTAACATGCTTGCCACAGAAACTAGTACCATTGAGTGCACAATGGGAGACAATGGGTCCCACTCTCCCAGAGTCTGTCAGTAGCTTAATTGCTCACCAGTAAGGGGTGGAGCCCCATGGCACTCTCCCCAATGCATGACTAACTCTTGACAGAGCTAGTCTAGTGCATATAAGAACAACTGCTTCACGTAATGATTGCCATGGCTATGACTTGTCTAGAGGGAGTTCTAATCCTTCTATCTACCTTTTGGCTCTCATTTTCTTTCTCCCTCCTCTTTTACAATGTTCTCTGAGCCCTAGGGAGAGATGTATAAATATCATATTTAGGAGTAAGCCCTGAATTGGCACTTACTCTCAGCATGGTGGGTAACCACAAGACTTTGCATTTACTTCCATTCATTACAAAGAAAGCTTCCTCTAATTGGGGCTCACAGTAGCATTTCTATGCAGATATAAATGTAGATATTTAGGAGGCAGTTTGACGTTGTTTCAACTGAGTTAAAGCATAGTAGTAAGTTCCTCCCTGGGGCCTATGATTTCCTCAGGCACAAGTTACTGATTGGGCTTGAAGTATTAAGCATGGACTACCTCTTCTTGTGGAGCAGACATGGGATTCAGTCACAGAATATTTGGTTAGCCCCATATAGTCATGCCACTATTGCACAGGTAGGCACATCTTGACTGGCAGATTAGCATTATATAGTTGGTAAAACTGAGTATGAGTATCGGTGATTTTCCTCCCTACCATATTGCCCAGCACTTCCTGACACTTTGTAAGCTAGTCACAAAATAAGGGTCCCAGGTCAGCACCATCTTGACTTCTATCTTGCAACTAAAGTGTGCAGTGGCTTCAGCACTAGGGTTTAAATCATCTACTTTTGGTGTACAACCAAGATCAATGGCAAGAGGCTGTATTATTTTGAGGGCCTTTGGGGCAATAATGCCTATGGAGGTATCTAGTAGTTGAACCCAGAATTTTAGTTTAGTAACCACTGCTTCTGTGAGCAGCATTATGTAGTCATGAAGGGTATCACTGATTCTTCAAGAAAGTATACTGGGGGCTGGAGAGATGGCTCAG